AATTAAGGGAAACTCATACAAGGTGCAAGTGTTTGAGGTAGTATCACTACATACTTGTTCTATTTAATTTTTCCACAAGCACTCACTCTTAAAGTCAGACTAGGAGGCTAGTTGGACCTTTGGTCTGACCAGCTACAGCTGGTCTCCATACCTCCTGATCCTCCTCCATCATTGCTCTTCTCTTCTATGCCCCGAGGGAAGCACTAGTTTTTGAATTGACAATTCCCAGCTTATCTGAGGTGATCAATAGTACCTGCCTGCACAGGGCTGGGTCACTGCTGTGTCTCCCCAGCAGCACGCTGCTGTGTGGCCTGTGTGCGTCACAAGCTTCGTGCCTACGGCCAACGAGAGCAGGCTGCTGAGAGCGAGGCTGCCTCTGCTGCTGAGTTCCCATTTACAGCAGGTTGTCTGCGGCTGCTCTTTATTTTTTACCTACTGTACGAGTAAGGGCAGAAGTTAAAATCTCTTCAGAGAAACCCTGATAAAGTTTCCAGTTCCTAAGTGAAAATTAAATTTTATTAAGCTTTTCAGAACCCAACTGCAGATCATCATCTTCTCTCGCAATCATCTCTGTTACTTTGCAGACTGCACATTTGTTAAAATCTGACTGTCTCCTGGCCACATCTTTTTTACCTGCCTGCTCCTGTCACTGCTTCCCTGCACTATGGACCAGATAGTGTTCAGACCATAGCTGCAATCTCCGTTCAAGCTACGCTGTTGCAGTGTTTCAAAGCTGGCCTGAACAGAGACCAGAAACAAAGCGTGCCACTGTCTGAGAAGTAAAGATGACAAGTGTCTGATACTTTCCAACACTACATTTCTACATGAGCAATGTAGGAGAGAATATGCAGAATTGAGGTGGGCAGCAGTTACGGAGGCCGTGTGACACAGGCAGGACATCTCGCTGGGTGGCTGGCAGGGAAGGCGTATCTACAAGAAGGACATGAAGAAAGCCTGGCAAGGGCAGAGGGTGCAGCCTGCAAAGCTGCTGTTCTCTCACTGAGTACTCTGGTGCCTGTTGTCACTGGGTTATTCTGCCCCACGTTTGGAAGAGTAGTAAACCAGGAATGATGTCATGAAATAATAGTTGCTTTTTTGGCTGATTCAAGGTAGCAGTTGTATCTTACAAGTTTAGAGACTTGTTGCCGTCTTAAGCATACCTAAGCAGTGTGTTGAGCGTCTGCCTCATGCTGTCCTTTGGCTTTGATACGTGGGAGGGAGCTGTTCTGGAGAAAAGCTGATGACAGGGAAGTCATGTGTGCTGTAATTGTGTGACGTCTGAAAATGTTTTTGTCCTTTGCAATCATTGGTCAAGATAAAAGCCCTGAAGCTACAGTGCAAAGTTTCAGAGAAAATAAAGTTCACTGGAAAAATGGACATGGAATTACTGTAGGGAGGCTAGGGGTAAAAACTGTCTTATCTCTCCAGGTAATCTTGAAAAGGAGAGCAGCTAAAAAAGTGAATGTAGAAACCCTTATCTCGAATGTAGTACCTGCTACTTGCTTTGTAGAGCTTGGAAAAAGCCTTTAAAAAGTAAAAGGCTTTAACCAAAGGAAGCAGAGGAGGGAAGCTGCTTCCCAGGAGGAGGATTGCCACCTTGCCTGGGAACTAGCAAGAGAAGAAAGAAAGCACTTAAGCACTCCCAGTCTAAGGCTTTCTGACTGTACAGAGCAGAGTAAGAAGTTTGCAGATTTAGCATCTTAAATTTTTTAAAGTGCTGCTCGCTGAGATTTGTTAAAGATGGGATTTCTCAAGTTGCTTCCATCTTCAGTGGACATTCCCTTATTTGAATCATTAATGTGATTGAAGGAGTAGCGAGGTGAGTACCCTTCAGATTGGGCTGATGCCCGGCAGTGACATGAAAAACGTCTTCTCTACAATCTCTCATTTCCCCAAATCACAGTTTACACAATCTGCAAAGTCAAAGAAAGTGAGAGAGCAAGGATTGATTCTTAGCTCAAGGAAATTCTTTTCCTTCCTTACTAGAGAGCTAACACCCAAGCTCAAATTCAGAAAACAAAAATGCAGGGTCCTGCAACAGGAAGCACATTGAGGTGCTCGAACAAAAGCTCTGACGAGAGGTGGGTGTTCCTGTTTCTAGTACCTTGTCCAGTATTCTACGTACTGGAAGCATGTGTGACCTTAGCAGTAAGTTTGAATGTAATTCCAGAAAAGACACTATATTGCTGATGTTTTTTAATATCATCAGCTCTTTTGTTGATTTCTGTACTTTTCTCACTGTTGGCTCAGTTTGGGTTTTGTGCTTCTGTTTGATAGTTGACCTTTTGCTGCTGGACTCCCTAGTCCTCTGGAGGTGCAGTTTCATGAGCCGTGACTCAGTTTAACCAGCCTTGGGCTCAGGGCATGCACTCCCCTCTGGCTTGGAGCCAGAACCAGCATTTGCCAGACCTCTCTGTGAGCTTCTTAACTCACTGACCTGGCAGAAATCTAACAAAGTGAGATTAAAGAAAAATAAAAGGCAGCTAGATAGTTTCCTGCCAGGCCAGTGAGTTAAAGCTACTTATGGAGGAGACCAACAGCTGCTAGAGCTGGCAGAAAGACCTGCTTTTAATGGCAGTCGGCCACTTGGTTAGCTCAGGTGTATAGGGAAGTGCAGCCGGGAGGTGCACGCTCTGGCTGCTTTGGCACTCACTGGGCTCTCTCGTGAGTTTGCTGCGCTTCGCCGTTTGCAGCCACATGTGCTGCCAGTTGCCACCCTTCGCCTCATCTAAAAGTTGCCACTTTTGTTAAAGGACTCATTAACACCTGTGAATTTGGAGAACACCAAAACGAGGGCCACTGCTATGGCTGCACAACATGTCCTGCTGGAGTACAAAACAGGGCTTTGCCTAGCTTAGGAGAGCAGCCCAGAGAACCAAGAAGACAGGCAAGGGGCAGAGCCTGGTGGTTTTCCAGAGGCTCAGGAGACGGAGGCTGCACTATGGGCTTCCTTCTGCACCCTTGCTGCAAGGGCAGGCAGTCCAGCTGCATGGACCCAGACTTGCTTTGCACACATGGACTAGTTGTTCCCTAGCTGCCCAGGATGCCTTGGACCACAGCCCCCTCCTAAGGAGAAGGGAGCCAGGCGAGCATCAGGCTGGATAACCTCGCCTGCCTTATCCTCCTGCCTGCCTCTAGCGCTGGCAGGTCACTGCTGCTCTGTGGGAACTCCAGCTTCCCTGCCTGCACCATGCACCAGCTGCGTGCCAGTAAAACCCAGCCCCTTGCTGAGGACGAGGGCAGGCAGAAGTGTTCTTTCATACTTCAAAGCCAAGATGGAGAAGGCTTCAGGCTACCTTGGGTGATTTGGCTGCGGCAGCTTGCTCCTGTTGCCACACTTCTGGGGGAAGGGGAGAGGCTTTGAAGCCCCCCAAAAGATGTACAGCTGGGGAGAGGAGGATTTTTCACTGCAAGAACTATATCAGTCTGGCCCATGGCCAACCCTTGGGAGTGTCCAGAAAGGAGAGGCGAGGTGAATTTGTGATGTGCTGCAAGCTAGGTGCTCTTACCTGTCCTGTATTTGGTCTAATAATTTCCAGTTTATTGAAAATTACTGTTGTTTTTTTTAAAAAAAATCATGTACTTTGTGTAAACTAATAAAAAATTTTTTTGAGGTTGTAATGTCCTGTCTTCAGGCTGAACCGTGAGGCTGTTCCCTAAGCAGGTTTTTTTTAATATCAAGAAAATAGTTGGTGCTTTTTACAGTGTCTGTAAGTCAGAGCATGTCTCTCCTTTGATTTCTGTAGATGAGAGAAAGTACACAACTTACAGATGACGCTGTGTGCCCAGCCCTACTGCCATCTCTGCAGCTTTTCCAAAGTCCATAGTTATTCCAGATCAGTGTTTGTCTAAATGTGTTTGCAGCTATCATAGTTAAACTCAGACAACTTCATGGGCACTTCTGTGTTCATCATTGTGAGGTTGTGGCTTCTGTTTCTGCACTGGACAAGTACTGGAGAGGTACCCAGAGGCCTCATGGTCCTCTTGCTCTCTTATGCAAGGCGCAGTGCGAAAAGCCCTCAATATTTTGCTTGGGAAAAGGCACGTAGTTGCCACGTTATTGGCAAATAATCATGAAACAGGTCGTGTAACTGCTCCACTGATACTCAGCTGGAAACCAGCATAACCTCCTGTGTCTGTGCCAGCTGCTGGAGGAGCCTGAGGGTGTTTTACTGTCACATTACCAAACCTGGTAGCAGGGCAGAAAAATGTCTGGTTAAGGGCTCAGCCTTCCCTGGGGTGACAGGTCAGCGAACATTAATGCAGCAGTGTGATCAAGGTCTGATGGGCTTTTGGCCAAATGGCCAAGGTGGGCTGCAGTAGGCGAGCAGTCTGGGGGAACTGGTACGTGTGGATCTACATCTTTCATTTTTAATGTTGAAAGGAAAAGCTGCTACCCACTCCCCTGTGGATGGGTACAACCTCCCAAGCAGCCAGTGACTGGGTCTGTGGAGCTTGGGTCTCTTTGCTGTCCCTGCCATCTTCCTGCCCTGTGTTGTCATGCTGCTTCCAAAACACTCTGGTACATGGTCCCCTGGGGCTGGGGCTGCTTGCCAGCCTCTTGGACATCGCTGTGTCCCCTCATATCAGCTTGCCCACGGACAGGACATTGCCAGGGGTGTGGGTTAGAGGCACACTGAAAAAAGTCTTGTGGGCTGGTGGGTTGGAGGGAGAGGGATGCCAGCTAGGGAGCAAGGGCTTGGCTGTGGGAGTGGAGCTGCATTTGTGATGCCATTAACCCCTAGAGACAGATGGACATATGACACCCAGCTAAAGGCCATCGAAATGAGATCTTGGTTGCAGGAAGACACAGCCCCAAACTCTTCACACATCTGTACAAAAGCAACCTGCTTTTGGCAGTGGTTGGAGAGAGAGATTTGACAGGGTTGCAGATTGCAAGAACTGTACTGAGCCACTAGCTGTGGATAGGAGAGCGGGGCTTAGGCGTGGATGAGGGCCTTGCTGCTGGCTCTCAGTTAGGGTTCCCTGTAGTGCAGGCAGCACGCATAACACTGAGGCTCCTTCTTCTCTCTCTGCAGGAACATGACATTGAGACAGCTTTCGGAGTGGTCCATGTCACCATGCGGGGCACACCCAAGGGGAACAGACCTGTCATCCTCACATACCATGACATTGGCCTCAACCGTAAGCCCTTGCATTACCAGGACCCTGCAAAAGTGGTTGTTTGTGGTGTTTGCTTTTGAGTGTGGGGACCAGCAGGACTGGCCTGGAGCTGAGATAAAACAGGTCCTTCCAGGGTAAAAAGATAAAGGTTTGCAAGAGAGAGAGCATGTGGCACACTCCTGTCCATTCCAACAGCCCCTGAAAGGGAGGGCCAACGCGGAAAGGTGGAAATAGGTTCACCCACCACACAATAGTGTTCTAGCTGACATGTTGCATTGTGTGATAGAGCACAAGGCGTCTGTTCCCCGGGGGGCTGGGCAGGGGAGCAAGTCCCTGCTACAAGGCTGCAGAAGTAGTGTAATGTTTCCAGCGGGCTCAGTTGCTCTTTCCACATCTTCCCACCCAACATGTCCTGTTATGTTCACACAGGTGCTCCTCAGTATGTACTGTGAGTACCCCAGTGCTGCAAGGCCCTATTTTCCTGGGCATGCATGCTGGGGTGTCGTTTGTCTGCCTGTCCTCCAGTCGTGGCAGTTGCTTCGCCAGGACTTGCTGCTGTGTTGCAGTCAGGGGGGCACAGCAGTGTGCATCACCCAGCATCTGCTGCCCCGCAGACTCAGCAGGGGGTTGGGCTCATGCAGGTGTGTGCCATGGTGTTTGGAGGGTGGATCACAATAAACTTCAGGAAAGGTCTCATTTCTTTTTGTTGTTGTTGTAGACAAATCCTGTTTTAACGCATTCTTTAACTTTGAAGACATGCAAGAGATCACTCAGCATTTTGCTGTGTGCCACGTGGATGCACCAGGCCAGCAGGAAGGAGCCCCCCCATTCCCATCTGGGTAAGATCTCTGCAGAGACCCTTGTTGTTTCAGATGTGGTCTGGACTGCAGTCTGGACTGAGGTAGTACCCAGTTTAAGCCAACTGCAACTGCCAGGCTGAGTGTAGTGGGAGGCAGCTTTCAGGAGCAGAGGAAATGGGAGGATGAGGAGACTTCCCAAGGGGCATTCAGGGAACTGTCCTATTACTAAGGCATGGGTAAAGCCCTCGCTAGTGGTGAGTACCAGCTTTCTGACTTGATCATGAGCCCAGCACACTTCAGTCTAGCTGGCGTTCCTTGCTCCATCTGTCCATCCTCCCACAGAAGTCTCACTGACCAAAACACCACAGCTCTGTGTTAGTCTTGCTCTGAGGGATGGGATCCATGCAGTTGGCTGGAATATACAGTATCGTTGCAAAATAATCACCTTTACACATGCCTGTTCCATGTCTCTCCTGCTTTGCGTAAACTGGAAGGCAACTTCTGTCAAGCTGTATTTGGAGGTGCTTTGATTTCAGTTTGTCTTGGTTTTCAGGTACCAGTATCCCAGTATGGATGAACTGGCTGAAATGCTGCCCACTGTTCTGACACACCTGAAGTAAGTCTCTGAAAGGAAACAGGGTGAGCCAGCTGGATACAGCCATTCCAGCACTTGCCTCTGTCTCTGCTTGCAACATCTGATATGCTCACTGAGTTGTCCCAAGAGGCCTGAGCATCTCCTAACGTGTGTAACATGGGAACGTTGTCTGCCACATGAGACAATTTATGGCTGCTGCATCATTGCTAGATCGTTTTGAAAATGAGCCATAAGTGAACAGCTGGATGCAGAGAGGGGAAAGGCTTTGCCTCTGGGGGTGCTTCAGCTGTGAGCTTAAGTTAGCCTTGCTGATTGTGAAATGCCTGTATTTCAGCCTGAAAAGCTTCATCGGGATTGGACTGGGAGCTGGAGCTTATGTCCTCAGCAAGTGTGCAGTAAGTATCTCTTCATTTCCCTGTGACTTAAGAGCTGTGGTCTTCCACTGATCAAACAGACCATTTGTGGGCCACGGGCAAAGCAGCAGTCAGTAATTACAGTAGGCCTGCAGGGAGCCATCTGAGAGCGACTCGCATCCAGATGGTTAAACTGGAGCAGCCAGGGTTACTCTGAAGCTATGCCAGACATGGAAAGATTGTAACGTGACGTCTTTGAGTCAGCAGAGCCCATCCTGGCTTCTAGGAATATTCAGCCTCATGACTTCACAAAGACTGGCTGCATTACTGTACATTACCGTACGGTGTTTCAGGTGTTTGTGACACCAAACAATCGATTCAGTGAAGCGCTGACAAGGAAGATGCTTTTTCAGTGGAAGGAAGTAGCTTTTGCACTCCAACCTTTGCCGAGAGAGTGCTACCTTTATCGTGGTACTTACTTCTACAACACACGCTAGTGGAGTGTTTATAAGCATGTGAAATTGGTGGACAAAGTTTAGCAGCCCAGGAATTTGCCCAAGTCTTTCAGAGACAGTGTTAAAAAAAATACAGAAATCTGACGTTCTCAGTAAAGTTTGCTTCAAGTTGTTGAGTGCAGAGAGTTGCCAATGATTTAGGCCATTATTGCTTCTTAAAGCCACTTCACCATGCAGCTGCCCCTCCTACATTAAGTTCTCTGCTTCCCATTTTCTCCAGTCAGGGTTGAGCATGAGGCAGTGTGAGGCACTGGTGTTTGCTCTGTTCCTTGTCTTTTCTATCTTGTGTAGTTTTCAGTCTTGCTAAAGAGAAGATAACACAAATAAGCCTTTGTCCTCAGCTCAGCTCAGTGCCAGAAAGCCCTTGCCACGCTACCTGGATTGCAGACATTTTCCTGCTTGAGGACAGAGTTGTTTCCTTCTGCTTAACCAGTGTTAATCTATACAGTGGAGCCAGAAGAGCTGCCATAAAATTTCAGCCTTGGAGTGACCCTAGAGCTCAAAGTTCTCTGGTTGTGTTAGATTGCTGGGTCTGTGTTTGCGAGCAGTTCTCAAAGTGTTTTGTACCCGTGCTCCCCCCGCCCCGCCCCCCCTCTGCAGGGTTCTGGGGACACCAGGCTGGAGCAGGGGAAGAGGTGTCTGCAGGTGGAGGGGCAGCGGGGGTGCCCTCCACTGAGCCGGGTGCCCCTGCAGCTGGGGCTTCCCAGGCCTCCGCTCGGGCTACAGGTGCTTGTGGAGCCCCAGCACCAAGTCCTGTGCCATTTGCCAAATCTTCCCGGTTTGCCACATCTCCACTGGGAGACTGCCTCTTCCTTGAGGAGTGGAAGAAGGTGCTCTTTGGGCACAGGAGTTTGTCCAGATCCTTCCCGGAGGTGCCAGATTGGAGCAGAGAGTCCCTGCTCACAGCCCTGCAGGGAGCCTGAGGAGGACGTGCAGCTGCACCACATGCATGGGTCACCAGAAGACTCTGCTCCAGCTGCTGCGCCTGCCGTTGGCCAACACGTGGGCTGAGTCATCCTTCTGAGCGTGCCTCTGCTCTCTCCCTGCAGCTCAGCCACCCCGACCTGGTGGAGGGACTCGTTCTTATTAATGTTGATCCATGTGCAAAGGGCTGGATTGACTGGGCAGCATCCAAGGTGAGTTCCTCCCTCCCCTGCACATCTTTCCACAGCCCATAATGAACAGTGTGTAGAGTAAGGAAAAAAAAAAAAAAAAGGACAGAGTACAGGAATGTGTCAGTTTATGGTAAAAACTGTACAATCTCATTTCTGTCCCTGCTGCATTCTCAGTCTGGGTGTAGCATGGCCTCCACTGTAGGAGCAGGGGTGGATGTGATCATATGGGAATGCGAAATCCTAGTAAACTTGGAGATGAGTGTCTGTCGAGCGCTCAGCTTTCTGGTTTAGTACTCATGCTTGCAGGGTTCATTTCGCTGAGGTTGAATGGATCTTTTAACTACTCTGTTGTTCTGGCCACTCGCAGTTATCTAGGGTTCCAGGTTTCTGGAGAGCTGTGTGTTGTGTGTGCACAGGCATCTTTGGAGCCTTGCACACCCATCCCAAGCTTCAGGCATTTGTTTCTTGTATCGCTTGGATAGTTTCTTTGTTTTTTTTTACTCTGAGGAGCTGCTTTGAAATTTGTAATAAAATTACATTTTCCAGTTGCTCTCCCTCCTCCTCATTCATGGTCGCTCTTCAGTTTTCAGGCTGGACAACCAACATAGTGGATATTGTCTTGGCGCATCATTTTGGCCATGTGAGTACCCAGCAGGTGTTAATGTTGCCCGTGCAACTGTACACAGAACTGTAACTCCTGTATGTACCTGCTCCGAAATAGCTCTGGTCCATCAAATAAGGGTTGCCACAGATAGTACTATCTTCTCTGTGTCTCAGGCTCTCATCAGGGCTTTGCGCGCTGCGGGGAGCATGCACATCCTCACACTTGCCCTAACTGTCTCCAGACATGTTAAGGAAGTAGTCTCCCACATACTAGTGCTAGAGCTCCTGTCTTTGTGGTGCCTAGTCAACTGTCTGCAAAAACAGGTGTCAGCCAGTTCTCTGTAGCCAGCATGGAAGCATTTGGGCTGTGGGTGGAGCACAGATCAGCTGGGAGTTGACAGTGGGATATTGTATGTGTCCAGATGTTGAACTGCTGCATTTTGCTCTTCTTCTTCCCCTTCAGTTTCAGAAGAGGCAAACCAGCCCCTCCTGAAAACTTTGGCTACAGCAATGCCTTCTGTTTGGGATCTGCTGTCTCCCAACCAGCAAGCTTATGGGGCAGCTGAAAGGGTCTGTGCCTTCTGCACACTATATATGACATGCAGCAGATCACTCGCTGACCTGAAACCCTCCTGCAACACCCCACGTCAGCACTGGAAGGAGTCATGTAGCTTCCTCCTGCTTAGAGCACATGCTGTTCTCTCCCCGCTTTCAGGCCCCTTCATTATACTTGGTGCTTCCTTGCATTCCCTTTTCTCTCTGTCTCTCTCTAGCTCTCAGTGGAATGCAGTTTCTTTGTAGAACTGGGCGTTGGGATTAAATTTTCCTTTGGTACCAGTCTTGGGGCTTACCTATAAAGCTTTGCCTCTTTAACATTAAGCATAAGCAGAAGACTTCCCTAAAGTTGTGTGGTTTGTAAGCGTTACTAAGGCTCGGGAGCTAACTTACCCCATCTCAAGATGCCTTTGTACTTCTGCAGCAGCATGTGCACTGCCGTTTGTAAAAGTGTGGTCACGTTACCAAAGTGTGGCACGTCACAGTCAGGTCACAGAACCACTTCATGTAGCCCAGGTGCTAATGCAGTCTGGAGTCACAGCCCTGTGTTCTTGTTCACAGGGGAATGATGTGTATGGAGGCAGTTTAACGTGTCGGTATGTTTATGAGTATCATTTCTTTACTGGTGAAAAAGATGGTGTTCCCTGTCTTTCAATTCTTCTGGTTTTGTACAGGAGGAACTGCAGGCAAATCTAGATTTGATCCAAACATACAGGCTTCATATCGCACAGGACATTAACCAAGACAACCTTCAGCTGTTCCTCACCTCATACAACAGGTACAGGATAGCTTTTTGCCTGTGAGACTGCTCCCATAGCTTCCCTGCTTAGTAGATTTGCTGCCATATGTATTATTCTGTTGGATATTATGTCATATGAACCTTTCTCCTAAGCCTAGTCTTCAGCCATTATCCTGAGCCAAGCTTAGCCCTCATGCCTGGATGACCCTTTCATACCTCAGTAGATCATCTCTGTAGGCACACACCAAGCTTGCCCCGAGAGCATGGATCCTATTTTCTGGCAGTGACTGCTGGGGCTCCTGCTCATGGCATGACACAAGGAGCGATAATGTGTTGCGCTTCTGGTTGGGTTTTGTATGCTCCCATGACAACCAGTTTCCTCTGCTGATTTGATGGAGAATTGTTCTGTTTTGTCTTTCAGTCGTAGAGACCTGGAAATTGAGAGACCAGTTCTTGGCATCAATGAAAATACTGCAAAAACACTCAAGTAAGTTGCTGTGAATCAGCCTCTCTCAGTTACTTACTGTGCAGTCCCTTCAGCAGAAAAACTGTTGGTGCTTCTCAGCAAGAACCCCTCAAACCTGAGCGGTGGGAAGACCGTTCACAACAGTCCCAGGCTGTGGTGCAGTGCTGTCAGCTCAAATGGGGCAGAGAGGTGTCTGGAAGCCAAATTTTCAGATTCCAAGAAAGAAAGCAAAAGGGATGAATTATCTCCAACACGTAGAGCATATGAAGACTGCAAATTCCAATGCTGAGGCAGGATGCCTGCACTGGGCTAGAGACTGCTGCCCAGGCTCTGCACTCCTTGGAAATTGTATGGACTTCTGCTCCTGCCAGTCCCAGGAATGTTTCAGGCATCCACAGCCAAACCCTGTAGATCTGGGCTAACCTACAAGAGGTGGATTTTCCTGCTTGGGCTCCAGGCAAAGCCAGTCTTGCTGCTCTCTGTCATGTAGGCGGCTGTGAGCCCCAGAGCACTGTGTGTCCATTCAGGTGACTCACAGGGATCTGCAAATGCTTAAAATACTTCTTGTGGAAGTGTGGATCTCTGTGCCAGTAGACTTGCACGTAGATTAGAGGTGGTACTCCACTAGCTGTGAGGTCTGGGGCTCATAGCCTCTCTAGTCTAATTTTGTCATCTAGTCACCACACAAAAGCCCCTAGCCACCCTTTTCTTGCCTTGATCTGTAAATGAGTGGTGTAAATTCACAGCCACTTGGTTGGTGACCTCCTGTATATATTTTACACGTTGAATGTTAATTGTTCTTCTAGAATTACAGTACATACAGAAATGGATATGAAGGCACAGATTTGCCAACAGAGGCTTTGGTATCCTGACGTTTTTCAGTATATTTCCCGACATCTTTTGTGTTTCTTTCTAATACAGTGCTGAGCAGTAGCCAGCCTCAGAAGCATTAAACTCTGTTGGATGTGGTTATTCTTAAATCCCTAACAGATGTTCATTTCAGAGAGCATGCTCCCTTTTGCAGCCTGGAATGGTGTTTCTCCCAGACCTAGGCACAACTTTTAGCAACAGTAGTGGCAGTTGGTGTGCATGGAGGGGACAGTATGGGTGCATGTGCAAGCCCTGGAGGATGTTTTAGTGAGACAAAATGCCATGGTGTGGTGGTAGGTAGGGATTTTGCTGAGTGTTGTTAACCTTTTATGAGGCTGCTGGTTCACAGAGCTCAACCTTCTCAGAAATCCCTCAGATGCACTGTGAGTAACGTCTCTGTTTTGGGTTTTGACCAGGTGCCCTGCCTTGCTAGTGGTTGGTGACAACTCACCTGCTGTGGAAGCAGTGGTACGTATACGTGAGCTCTTTCCTCTCATGAGATAGCCCCACGAATCACTTAGCAAACCTGCCTCAGCCAGCAGGAGTGAGTGCTTTCACCTTACCCAGAAATAGTCACAGAAAGTGCCTCTTTGTCCCAAGCCCTTTTCTACTCCCCCAGCTATTGAGACCTGTCGGCCACTAGTGGGAGAGACGAGGCTCGGGAGACTCAATGGCCCTGCAGGGCAGCTCTAGGGTGAGGACGCCTCCATCTTAATAAGAGTCCGTGTGCCCAAGCATCTTGCTGGACAAGTGATGCAGAGGGCCCCTTTCAGGAACTTGCGTCTTTCCCCAGGCTCTGCCAGGCTGCTGCCCAGAGTTGAGTTCAAGTCATGAATTACTGTTCTCTTGCTGTTGTACTGGGGCTGCCTGGGGTTTAAAAACAAGCAGTGTGACCCCAGTTCCTGTGGAGTCACACAGAGCTCTGCAAAAGCACTGCATCATAGGGAAGGCAACACTTAGAAGCATCTCCCTGTTGTTCTCTGCAAACACCTGTAACCCTCTTCCCTCCTGGAGCAGTTATAAATGGGGCATGGCACAGTGGAATGTGATTGTGGCGGATGTTGCTTCTTCCCTTTCAGCCAGTGGTGGTGGTGAGACCAGGAGTTTGTGAACAAAAGCAGTTGTCCTAAGAAACTGTGGAAGAGTGTAGGAGTCTCCTAAAGCAGTAGTTTGGACCTGGGAGCTGTGTGTGGAGAGCTGCTGCAGGGCTTTTACTGGCCATGGCCCGTTGCCTTTTCATCAGCCTGTTCGGTCTGGAAGCCTGAGATATTCCACAAGTTTTGGCTTTGTTAGGATACTGTCCCTGAGGATTCTCCTTGCTTCCCAGCCATAGCTGGGGATGGGATAGGGTCTTCTGGATCTTGGCTTGCCTGTCTGACTGACCAGGTTCCCAGCTCATGACAATCTCCCCTGCTGGGGTTGCTTTTCCTATAGGGCCCCACCTATGCCCTTTTTGCAGCAGCCTTACAGAGAAGACATGGCCGTAGGCTTGTCGGGACAGGAGACTGAGTGACCTCCCTCCATGCTGCACTGCACAGAAGTCTCCTTCCCTCCTGGTCTTGCTGTCAGAGCCCAGAAGGTGCTTCAGGGTTTCCTGGTGCATCCCCAAAACCAGGGAATGATTTCCCTTGAAGTCACGGCTGTGTCTCAGAACAGTGACGTTCTGTCACCACAAGGTCCCCTTGGATGGGAACACCTGCCCTTTCCTCCCTGCATCTTTCATTCACTGTTCTCTTCCTACATGCCCTCTGCTTTCTTGCTCAGTCCTTCTTGGCCTCAGAGAAGCTCCTGTTGCTGAAGACAGCCACTGCCTCTGGTGCAGCTGCCCCGCATTTTATATCTGACTTTAAATTTTCTGTGCGATATCATGTCCCTCTTCCCTCCTTTTATTTCAGGTTGAATGCAATTCACGTCTTGACCCAACCAAAACTACCCTTCTGAAGGTGAGTGCCACTCCAGCCTCTGCAAAGATGCTATTTTTGCTGAGGCCAGCTCCACTGAGTTTTTGCCTTCCATACATTTAGCTTTAAGAAGTTTGTGGACAGTCACTCAAGGCTGTGTCCTTTCCTGCATTGAGCCAGACTGGGGAGAGAAGAGTTTGTCAAGGGGTCCCCAAATCCCTCCTTTATGGCCACTTCTCAGTTATCTTCATCCGGCAGGGAAGACCTGTTGAGAGTTAGCAGAGGTGCCCTGCCCTCACCCAGCTCTCTGCCAGCGGCAACATCACTTTTTCTAGCTTTATACCAGTCCTTCCCGTCCTCACCGACGGCTTCACAGTGTGCCAGACGGCTGCTGCATAGAAGTGCAAAGTGTCAGGTTTGGGAAGAGGGGCAGAGGAGCCAGGATGGTGAAGGGCTATTCCTGGGCTTCTGGAGTATGGCCCAAGATGGCTTGGTAGTGCAGCCCCCAAGGTGTTGGGTACCTCCAGCAGCAGGCTCCCAGAAGACCTATCACCAAGCCTTGCTTTGGCTGTAGAGACAAGGTGGTGGAAATGTGCCTCATGTAACAGTGCAGCCTGGTGCCGTCAGCCCCAGTGGGGTGGGCAGTGCTGGCGTGGTTCTGGGATTGTCCTCCCTGGGGTGGGAAGGACAGTTCAACATTCCTTCTGTTTCCTGTTGCAGATGGCCGACTGCGGGGGCCTGCCCCAGGTGGTTCAGGTGAGAAATGCCTCTCGGCTCTTCCACGGCACTTGGGTTGGGCATAGCCCCTTGCTCTGCTCGCCCTGAAGCTGCACATTTTGTTTCCACAGCCTGGCAAGCTGACTGAAGCCTTCAAGTACTTTGTGCAGGGAATGGGCTACAGTAAGTGGCAAACACAATTTTCTGGTTTGAAGCGGGGTTGTTGTGAAAGGAACTCAGCCTTTCTGGTC